AAGACCTGCTGCGTTTTCCACACGTATGCGTTTTCCCACACGTTTAGCCATGTGTGCAGAACGGTGCGTTTTCCGAGTGCCACAAAACACACGGCCAATTGCAAGCGCCGCTACCAGGTTTTAGGGTTTAGGGTTAAGTCACCAGAACTTTAATCAACATGGCTTTTGGCCCTTCATCTCGACACTCCCTGCTGGGTGCTCTAGATTAGAACTCTTAAGCTGTGTGGACTCTTGCTCACCTCGATATTTAAAGCTTCAAGACCCGGATCCCTGAAATTCGGTAGCGGCCAAAAAAACCCTGAAAGCCTAAACATTCAAACCCCAAAACCTTACGAACCCTAAGCCCTAAACCATACATACCCCAATCCCTATGCCCTATATACCCTAAACCCTATAAACCCTAAACCCCAAACCCCAAACCCTATATACCCCAAACCCTAAGCCCTAAACCCTGGCAGCCCTCAAACCCTGAATCAGGCCGTCTACCTTCCTCCACGAGGCTTGCATAGGGAGCAGTAAATGGGAATAGGTAGTTCTCTAAGTTCTGGTCCCTTTTAGGGTCCTTTTTATAAGGGCGCCGTACTATTTGTTGGACTTAAAGAGGGATCCTTATCTAGAGAACTACCCAAGTAGTTAAGGGGGAAGAACCTGCTAACATTGTAGGGTCTGGAGCTACGGGTAAGAGTTGCAGGGTTTCGGGCTTGGGGTCGAACCCTTGGTGCTTGGGTTTTGGGCACTGCGGTGGTCTCGGGCTTGGGGTGAGACTGTTTAGGGTTTAGGGTTCAGGGTTGAGGGTTTAGGGTTTAGGAGGGTCAGGGCCCTCATTTTTTGGTTGGTTCGGATCAACCAGCAACCGAAACCTCCTTACCCCTGAAACCAGATCATCAAGAAAGAGTGAAGCCCCTGCCCTAGGCCAGTACCTGAACCCTCAATCCTCATCCCTAAACCCTCATCCCTAATCCAAAAAAACAATACCGAAGCCCCACGAAATCCCAAAAATCCTAGGCCCTAATCCCTAAACCCTAAGCCCCAAACTCTTGCAAAACCTTTCACCCCTAAAGCCGAAACCCTACTCCCTGAGCCCTAAGCCTTGACCTCCAGGCCCTGCAAACCTGCAAAGCCCTGTGAGGCCCTAATCCCCGAGCCCTAAAGGCCCGAAGCTTGGGTCACGACATGGGTAGTTCTCTAAAATAGGGTCCGTTTTTGGGTCCCCAGTTTAGTACGGCACCCTTACAACAAGGACCCTAAAAACGGTTGATGATAGAAATCCTGCATTACCCATAATAAGGAAGATGCCATAATTCCCCAGATAGTTTAGGGTCCTTAAGGTAATGCAGGATTCGGCATCATCAACAGAAAGACCCTAATTTCGCAAACTAAACCCTAAACCCTAAACCCCTAAACCCTAAAACCCTAAAACCCTAAACCCTAAAACCCTAAACCCTACACCCCTAAAGCCCTACACCCTAAACCCCTAAACCCTAAACCCTAAAACAACGACCCTTATGCCCTAACCTTTAAAGGAACCCTTAGAGATCCCTTTAAAGGAAACCCACCCGCCCAGGTTCCCGGGCTCGGCCAAAACCGGCCTGGCGGGCTCCGGGGGGCAGGCGCGGAGTGCCCAGGGGCTGTTTCAGGATCTAGGGTTTAGGGTTT